GGAGATACCACAACTGTTTAGCACACGTTTGGTCAAAGGATCGGTTTCACTTGTCTCTTTGACGAGTTGTGATGCTAAGACTGGTGAGACTCACTGACGATGCCGACTACGATGCCGGCGAAACGTCTGAGAATGTATCACGTCCACGGTCCTACTCTGGAAATGATCATGCATACAATGAACTCCGGACTAGGTGTGTGTTCCTCTAAGTCTTCCTACCAATATGACAAAGTTGCGAAAACAAGGTCAAACAACCTCTATATAACGAAAGGAGACAGTGACCACACAAAATGCCACACTATCTTAGTCTCTATACCTTCGATTAATGTTTATTGCTACCTTTGTTGTCATTTATTGCTGCTGATGACCTGATAAGCCAAAAATTATTTTTCAATTGACACGATAATACGACTAGTGTTGAAAGATTAGGGCTTAGTTTGATAATTGCTTTGCCCTATTCGGTATAAATCGGAGTCTCTGCCAGTCTCTTGCAGTCACAATACTTATTTTCTCGTTTTTTGGAAGTTCTTTGTTGTGATCCGTTGACGATTTACACTAGAACGTAAGATATGATTACCTTTAAATGGCAACTGATCTGATCATCGTTTCAGACTTGTATTTCTATGCAAGATGGTTAATCCGTGCTGGGCTTTTGCAACTCTTTGTCGGGACACCTGCAAAGTGGAGGTTTATTTTCATATCTATTTAGTCCTTAAGAGACAAAGACGAGTAGTCTAAAGCATAATGAAGCCGGTGCCTACTCTCTTGCTAGGTAGCCTTCTTGCTGACTTTCCATTATTTCGATATATCAGAAGCTTATTAAATCCCAATCGTAGATAGGTTGTTCTTCGACAAAGAGTGTGCATTATGGGATAGTGCGTTATACTAAATTCTCTTTATCAAATGTCCGCTAGCTAAAATATCTGCCTTAATGACGAATGACCTTTAACCCCAATTCAATGAACATAGGTACCAGAATCTGAATCATTGAATTTTCAGTTGCGTGTCTTATTTGCCTTCTTTATTCATTAGAAACATCCACTGGAGCCCTCCATGTATCTTACAATTAGCCCATAGCTTTTTGATGCAACTCATAATTGTCAATTCGCCTGAATAATCCTGTTTTCCATCACACGTTCCTAAAATAATAATACTTCCTTATAAAAATCCTCCACTTGTTCTTTTCTTGTGCTGAATTGAAATAAATTAGAAGTAAGTCTCAGGACGATATATATTATAAAATAAATATCTCTCTTTATTTTCTCCAATTTCAAATTTCATATTTCTACATAATTAGCTAACGATTGGGATTCAACTGTTCCTGATGAGACCCCACTCTACCAGGCTGTCCCAATTGCCATGGTGATATATCTGCTTTACTCGATCATTCTGATGCTCAGTGTCATCATCGCCACCTTTAACGATATCTTTGCAGCTGTCCGTACTCAGTCAGAACTGGTCTACAAGTATTTACGCTATGCTGTCATTATTGAATACGAATCTCGACCCCTTCTACCACCTCCGTTTATTATCATATCATGGCTCTATCTCTTTCTAAGATCGATATTTCGGTAAGTGTTCGATTACCTTTGCTTATGCAGCCTCCTTGCTGTGATAACTGAGGTACATTCCTTATTAACTGGACCAGTCACTAGTCTTTTCTACCATTTTTTATCATGTTCAAATCTTTTCAAAATCTACTCTTTATCATGTTTTCATTTCTACAAGGTTATCTTTTTACTAGAACATCCTTTCTTTTTGGCATTTCTAAATTAATAGCCAAAGTGTTCATATCACCTAAGTTCAAACTCGAAGTAACAAAAACTACACTATAGTGTATTTTAGCTCTCTGCTATAATAAAGCGGACACGTAAACTTTATTTTAGATATCGATAAAGCGTTTTTGTATTGCTAAAATTTGACGTGCTTTCACAGGTAAGCTAGCTAAATTGTTTGCTTGAACTATCAATGTGGACCCTTGTGGAATTATATACTTTATTTGGCTCAGTTACTCTGCTAAGGAGGTATATAATATCATGCTTAGTCTCAATGAAATTTTACATGTTTTTGCATCGTTACTTTGAATGCGGCCGTTTAAATAGGATGCATTAACCTGGTATTAACTTCTTTAGAAAATACACCATAGCAAGGTGGTTGAATTAATGAGTACAACAGGCCCCTGGGACCTTAAGACTCTTGATCACTCAGCTTCAGGAATGTTAACTTATCATGCCACCGTTTCATGTTTACACTCTTTGCATAAAACCAAGATAATGGCATCATTTCTCAAAATAAATCTTTACTTCATTTTTATATAGTTAACTATTCTCATTTTTAAAACCTCAGATAAATTGAATAAGTTATAGTATTGCCCGAATTTCTAGTATCTTATGATCTTGCCTGAAACTAATTATTCAAACTTATAGGGAGCAACTCAAATTGTTTTTCTAATAAAATGTTTTCTAACTTTTTAGGGCACTTTTAACCTAACTGTCATTCTATGCTATCCTAACAATCGTCTATTTTCAGCTTTTCTAAAATTAATTATGCGTGTAAATTTCTCTTTCGCTGTTACTATTCAGTTCGGTTCATCGGTAAGTCC